CCTACTATGGTGCCCTCTAGCACATATAGTTAGCCGCCCTCCCAAGAAAGAACCCAAAAGAACAGGTGTGGGTCAGCCAAGTAACCTATACAAAATACCTACAACTCAATTATAGTCAAAATTAGAGAGAGTGGGTGAGAAAGGTGGAGGAACTATACATCTCAACAGTCAACCCCATTAATGCATATGGCTGCCAACATGTGCAGGAACTACATGTAGTAGTTCTTGGCTCGGTAGTTCCTGAGCCAAATGTCCCTATGGTTGTCACTCATGCCAACAAAGCCTCTGCCTTGGACCTTGTTATCCAGTAGGTAGGTGTAGGCCACTATCAGTGCCTCCTCAGTAAAACCAGGCATCTCCATCACAGCAAGGTAGAGGTCAGCATCAACATGGGCTAGTCCAGTCTCCCTAAGAGCATTGGCAACATTGTTCACAGCATCAAACATGTTGGTCAACATAAGCATCTCATCCTCACTAAAGGTGCCTCTCTTCCTCTTTGCACCCACAGCTGAGGAGAGGAGCTCTGTGGCCTTGTTGCTACATCCTACATCAGTGTGGGTCTTCTCAGCAGGAACATGATAGAGGAAGGACCCTCTACCTTAGCAGCAACACTCTTAGCCAGGTTGGTCCCTAGGGCTTGACCAGAAGCTAGTGCAAACCTACTAGTGGCCATAGCATGGCCAAAGATGGACTCCATCTCAGTGTAGAACCTTATAGGGAAGTTTAGAAACTCTATATATTTAGGATGGTCCTGCAGTAAGGGGGGAGGGGAAGGGTATAGTTTTATACAAGTAATGGAAAGACAGATACAAGGACACATAGGAAAGAAAACAAAGTTCTACCTTGAAGTGGCCAAGGTAGTGCTCCTGCTCAAGCATGATAGCATTGGTGTCACTATCCCAAAGTGCCCCACTTAGGTCCTTGAGCTTACATACTCTAGACCACTTCCTCAGGTGCTTGTACACCTGAGTTAGGCTCACTGCCTCCCCACTGTACTCCTTAAGGGCTTTGGCAACATGGTTAACATCTTTATCCTTGAAGACTTTGTCAGGTCTACTATCATCACTAACAAGTTGTGCCATCCTCCCAAGGACAAAGCCAGAGGTGTTGTTCCAGCTCATGGCCCTAGGACCCCCTGCAGCAGCACCAGCACCAGCTGGTGCAGCTAGTGCACCACCAGCAGCACCAATACTAGCTACAGCTGCTGCACCAGCACTAGCTGCAACAGCAGCAACAACAACACCCCCAGCAGCCCATTTACTATATCAGAAGTAGCCACAAACCCACCCTAGGCACCAAGCAGATCAACTGGGAGTGGAGCCATCCTATTTGGTATTGCAATTTCAAAGTAAGTAGGAGAATAACATCACAATCATAAATACACATAAGCTTTGGCCATGGGACACAGCCATACAACAGGAACATCATAATTGATCTATGCTGCTACCACTGTATGGCTGAGTTTCATGGCCAAAGAACAAGTGAACCAGTGATAGATTATTACATATTTGGTCTCAGCCTTGTCCAACAAATTATTACATAAACATCACACAAACATGAGTTCCATAGCAGGGTATACAAACTGAATTTAATAATAAAGTTATTGCATGACTAGATCCTAGAGGTACCCCTCTCTTCCCACATAGCATTACAGATGGCATCCCTCCTAAGTGCCACGGCATTGGAGTCTTGGGACTAGTTGTCATTATTGGGCAGGTTCTCAAGTGGGTTAGGTTGGCTGCTAGTGAAACCTTCCTCAGGTGGCATAACTTGGTCAATACCAAACCCTAGGATCCAATTGTGCAGAATATAACAGGCCAATACAAGCTTGACCTGAGTCTTGTATGGGTGAAAGTGCTTGTTATCTAGGATACGAAACCTATTCTTCAGTGCACCAAAAGCCCTCTCCACAGTGACCCTTAGTGATGAGTGCCTTAGATTGAAAAGCTCCCTTGCATTGGTTGGGTGATTTCTGCTCCCAAACTCAGTCAAGTGATACCTGACCCCCCGTAGGGGGGTAGGAAGCCACTATGGCATGCATAGCCAGCATCTACCAGGTAGAATTTACCTACAATTGGACATCTACTATGAGTGTGTGTGCCATTATTAAGGACATAAGTGCATTGACTAGGTAGTGCAGTTACCTTCAGGTAGAGTGAACCCATCATTCCTCTCTATGGCATAAGCCAGGATAAGTGCATCATGGGCAGAGCCCTCCCAGCCAGCAAGGATATATGTGAACTTGAGATCAAAGTCCACAGCAGCCATGATATTTTATGTGGGGTTATGTTTCCTACCCCTGAAAGCAGCCTGCATGTATCTAGGCACCCTTGCCTACACATGGGTGCCATCAATGGCACCAATGCAGTCCTAAAAACCATGGAAATAAGATAACAGTACATGTGAATATGCACATCTACCAAATGAAGGAACATGTGCTTCACAATTACCTTCAAGAATGGATTCCATCTATGGCTCCCAAGTATCTTTTGGTGAATGACAGTGCTAGGAGGCTTGATCATCTCATTCCTAAGCTCACCAACAGCATACAAAACCTGGTGGATGTGTTTGTGCACTGTCTCAATGGACCTCCTAAAAGACTGGTGGACAACTCTAAATCTTTGATTGTGACTAACCACAGAGAGGAACATTGCAACTTACTCCTCTACTATGACCCCCTCTCTATCAGAAACTAGGCTCCTAGCTCTAAACAAATTGCATAAAAGCAAAAAAGGTGCTCTGGTCATCCTAAGCATGGATAGGCACTCTCCATCATTGGAGTTATATATCAGGTTAAGGGTCTGCTGTCTGTGCTGGTCAGCTTCATCCCTAAGTGCATACAACAAAGGGTTAGGTTCACTATCAGCCCTTTTCCTTTTAAGCCTGCTAGAAACAAAGGACACCATGACTATAACCAGGGCAACTGCTTGCCTACACATCATCTCACGGCTCACAGAGGGATCCATCTACATTCATATAACAATCGGCTTGTTCGGCTGACCCCAAACCCGGCTTGATCCGCTTCTTTTTTCATCCGGAACAGCGTTTTTCTCTCACAGATTCAGCCGTGAACAGTAAAATTCAGCCGCTACAGTGTTTCTTTTATGTCAGCCGAACACAACCAATGTAACACAAACTCAGATCATCATACCCTGCCTGGCCTCAACATGATTGTACAATGATTCAGTAAGCAAATAAAGCACGACTGCATTTAGGTACATGCCTCCAGGTGCTCAAGACAACATCATCGACCATATCATAAAAATACAGAAACAAACCATATAAACAGCAAGAAACGCATCAGGTATACAGAGCTCATCAAGGAACAAGCAAATCATAGTAGCAAGCAAGAAAGACCGTAAGAACGATCATCACTGAACTATGATAGCAAACCCTAATCCATCGAGAAACACTAAGTAGTACTCAAATCAGATGAACCAATCATGAACATCAACTAGGATATGAAACCCTAACATCATCACCGTGAAGGAGGGAGGATTGGGGGTCGATTTCACCTCGGGTCGGCGTCGGCGCAAAGGAGCGGCGCAGCGGGAGGAAAAGCAAGACCTGGCGAGGCAGATGGAGCAGATCGGGCTGAAGAGGAAGCAGATCGGGCCGGAAGAAGAGCTTCACCATCATCGCACCCACAGAAGAAGAGGGAAGAAGACGGCCGCCTCCACGGAGTCCCCGCGGTCGACGGAGCGACGCCGCGTCATAGCAGATCCAAGGTGGGGGAACGGAGACGAAGCTCGCCGGGGGAGGACGCCGCCGCGATGCACACCAGCTCACCACCACCGCCGGTCTCTCACATGGCTAGAGGAAGGCGAAGAGCACGGAGAGGAAGAAAGGAGAAGCAGCAGCAAGCGACGCTTATAAAGGCGGAGGATTTCGCCGGTGGAGAGAGCGTGCGCGGACCTTTCCCTCTTCCCGCGCGAGCCAGCCACCGCCGAAATCACCCCAAATCGCCCGCCCTCGCGTCGCTCGCAGCCACGCCCGGGAGAAACGATTCCCCAGAGCCAGGCGGAGGGGGCCGTTTTGCACCCCGGCGGTCGAGCTGCTGAGCGGGCCAAGGCTCCCAAACATGGGAGTTGCAGCCCACCAGCACAGCCAGGCTCTTGGCCACGCTCCCAAACGCGCCCTTGATGTCTGCTTCGACCGTCCTGATCTACTCCTGCGGTGCCGCGGTGGCAAGCGGCTGGCTACTACTTCCTTGCTTGCCGGCGGTGGCCATTATGGACGGATTATTGAATGGATTATCAGTTGCAAGAAAGGATGTGATCGACGATGGGATGCTATCTTGCATGGCAGGTGATCATTGAAGATTAATGGAGCAGGCTAGCTACTGCGTACTAGTTTGATGGCCAATTGGCCATCCCCCTCGACCCGTAGTAATTTCTGCAACTGCAACCGTGCAAGCTACAAATGCCATCGCTGCTAGAAAATGAGCAAGCAAAGAATTGATGCGGCTGCAGGGCGGGTACAGCATACCCGGTTCGCTCACGTCCGCACAGGAGCAGAGAAACGTGAGAGCCGTGTCCGATGAGCCTGCACCTTTCCCTTCCGTTTAGCCATGTCGCCGGTCTGGCAGCTGGACGTCGTCTCAGGGCTCAGGCTGACCGCTCTGTATCGGACTATCGGTCGATTGATCGATCGCCCAGTGCCCAGAACCAGAAGGTGGCCAAGCTTTTAACTCTTTCACCAACCAATCGCCAATGCTTCTCATTACTCCAAGTCCTAGCAAGTACGTGCAGCGTTACTGCGTAGTTCGAGTAGGACTCGCGTGCACCTATGTCACTGTCAGCGTCGATCGTCGTGTTAGGATGCGTCCTACCAGCCGGCGGCCGGCGCCAATGCTGACCGCGCAGGGCGATCGTCTTCTGTTTCCCTCGGGCATCCTCCTAAACCCCCTATAAACCACACTTCCCTCTCGTCGGCGCCACACCCACACTGGCTACCGGAGAAGTCGCTAGCAAGGAGACTAAAGAGAGACCCGGGTGAGCATGGACGTGGAGCACAAGGATCACCTCCTCGCCGCGGCGCGCCGCGTCCTTGGCGCCGCGGTGCTCCTCCTCTGCCTCCTCGCCGAGCTTCTCGTCTTCGCGTTCAGGCGCCACGCGGCGCTGCACCTAGTCCCGGCCAGCGCGATGCTGCTGCTGTGGCGCTTCAACAGGCGCGCCGCGGCGGCGGCGGCGGACGTTGGCCTCGTCGACTTCTCGTGCCTGAGGCCGCCCCGGCGGTTGCGGATCCCGATCCCGGGGCTTCTCGAGCACCTCCGCCTCATCGGCTGCTTCGACGACGGCAGCGTGGAGTTCATGTCCCGGGTCATCGAGGGGTGCGGGATGGGCGACGAGACCTACTTCCCGCCGTCGCTACACTACATCCCGCCGTCGGCGACGCACGCCGACGCCGTGGCCGAGGCGCGCGGCATGTACCTCCCCACGCTCGACGCGCTCTTCGCCAGGACGGGCGTGCCGCCGTCCGCCGTGGGCGCGCTCGTCGTCAACTGCAGCGGCTTCTGCCCGGCCCCGTCGCTCGCGGCCCTGATCGCGGGGCACTACCGCATGCGCGCCGACGTCAGGACGTTCAACCTCTCCGGCATGGGCTGCGCGGCGGGCGTCGTCGGCGTGGACGTCGCGCGGGGCGTGCTGAGCGCGCACGCCGCCGTCAGGTACGCCCTGGTCGTCAGCGCAGAGATCGTCACGGTCGGGTGGTACAGCGGCAGGGACCGCTGCAAGCTCCTCCTCAATTGCTTCTTCCGCACCGGGTGCGCCGCCGCGCTGCTGACGAGCACCTCCGCCATCTCGGTGCCGCCCAATTGCAAGTACCGTCTCGTCACGCTGGCGCGCACGAACCGGACGGCCGACGACCGCAGCTACGCGTCCGCGGTGCGGGAGGAGGACGGCGAGGGCATCACGGGGTTCTCCATCGGCCGCGGGCTCGGCGGCGTGGCGCGCGACCTCCTGCGCGCCCACCTCCTCGCGCTCGGCCCCGCCATCCTCCCGTGGCACGAAAAACTGCGGTACGCGGCGGCGCTGCTGCTGTTCCGACGTGGGCAGCGGAGGTTCAAGAAGCTCCAGGACGACGGCGACGGGAACACCGACGTCCCGAAACCGAACTTTCTAACCGCGGCGAGCCACTTCTGCCTGCCATCGTCGGGGACGCCGATGATCCGGAGGCTGGCGGAGGGGCTCGGGCTTGGTGAGCGGGAGGCGGAGGCGGCCCTGATGACGTTCCACCGGTTCGGCAACCAGTCGGCAGCGTCGCTGTGGTACCAGCTCGCGTACCACGAGGCGACGGGCGCGGGTCCGGCGCGGCGATCGGGTGTGGCAGCTCGGCATGGGGAGCGGGCCGAAGGCCAACAGCGTGGTGTGGGAGCGCATCAGCGGAGACCCAGAGCCCGCGGCCACGGACAATGGCCCCTGGGCCGACTGCATGGACCGCTTCCCCGTCGGAGAATCCTAGCAGCATTGCCCATTTGCCATTGTTCAGCCTTCAGAATTGTCTAAAATTCACGGATATTTGCGGCCGCGTGAGATTGACATTTATGTCATAACATAAGCTACTGCATTTTAACTTCTGCACCTGTGTATGAGTATAGATGTTGCTTTAGTGCATCGATTTAATCCTTCTCACTGATAGGCGTTGATGATATTGATCGACAGTAAAGGAAAAATGATGAAACAATTCCTTGTGTACCATTCAAAAAGACGGTCGGCATTGAAAAGTTCATTATAACTCCTATTCAAAAAGACAGTCGATATTGAAAAGTTCACTATAACTCCTATACCAGTTTTTGAACTATTTCTTCCCCTAATGCCACTTACAATTTGAAACAGGGGAGTAGTTTACAAATTTAAGTGTCATTTTTTTCAAATTAGTTAGGATGTTACTTTGTTTCAATTCTTTTGGCGCAAACATGCATAATTAATTTAATTTATTAGTGTAGGTTACCTCTATGGTAGGCACTATACTTCGCTAATCTACATTCCCGGTTGAATTCTTTGGACAGTCAAATTTTGTCCAGCCAACATAAAAGTCCACATCAAGAATCATCACATGTTGAAGAAACTAGTTACAGATAGTATTATTGGACCAAATATTTCAGAACAATAATTCACGCTATAGCTTGCTACTTGCTAAAACTAAAAGCAAATAGAAACAACTACTGGCGGATTCTTCCTTGATGATGGATTCCTTTGCCCCCCCCTATGCAAGCAAGTTAACTTTGGGGAACATTTTTACAAATTATGCAGTGACAACGGCCCTTGATCCCTCCTTTCACACACTTATGTTCCTTGACTGTTTCTGGACGTACATTCTTTTGAAGCTAGCATGCAGACTTGCACATCCATTTTTTACAAAATGGAATCTTCAAAGTTACATTGATGCAGATCTCTGCAAATAAATAAATAAACATGTACATGTCCACATGTTATTTGTGATCTTGATCACATGACAATATTCAACACAACTTTAGAAAAAAGGAAGGTTTACTAATTAATGAGTTTGTCCATATATGTAAAAATATTAGAAGACCATTTTACTCGAGTAGAAAAAAGAACAGAGAATAAGATAAGTGAAAACAAGAAACGGAATTGCACTTCTATCCTGGATCATATCATCATCGAATGAATAAACTAGAACACAACAGAAAAGAGATATATGAAGAACACAAACCAGCAGCCGAGGTTTAATCTGCGTGTAGCATGAGTGTCACTAAAAGAAGGCAGCAAAGAGTAGCTTGTTTGAGATTCATCTTGGCCTGTAACGTGTATCTTTAGCTGACAGTATAGTAGTAATATATATAGCCTAATCAAAGAGATAAAAAGCGAACCTTATCCATCTTAACGGACCATGAGTCAAATTTGTAGCTGCTTTTGTGTATGCATCCCTGATTTTTTTTAGAAAAGGGTATGCATCCCTGATTTACCGAGTCATAGTGACTGCATCGGATCTTTTCGTGGCCCTATATCCCAGCAAACTGAAATCTAGATGCTTTGACGGGGTTCATGCATGGAAACATGCAGGATCATGAGTTGCTCTCACTGGTCGCCACTCGCCATAGCAATAGCTGTATAAGGAAGGAGGAAATTAGTTAACGTATCATGGAGTTTTTATGTAAACGGATTCACGCATCTTTAACACTACACCACAACACTAAATCGCGATAGAGGGCCCCATCATATCATACGAACAATCAGTTGAGCAAATCCAGTTCCTCGCTTTGGTTGCAGGCCACAGCTCACCGAAATTCAATGGATCGGTTCAGAATGGGTGCTGATGCCCTTTGTCCGCACATAAAGTTTGAATTCAAATTTAACTTGTGCGTGATGAGGTAAAAAAACAAAAAAAAATCACTCCGGCTTTTTTTTTTTGAGAAATCACAAATCACTCCGGCTGTGCTCTTCTCCCGGAAGCGCTTGGACATCTACTGCCGGGTTGCGCCGCCTACAGTCCACAGTCCAGTGGTGTGCTGGGTTGCGCCGCCTACAGTCCACAGTCCAGTGACGAATTTTTTTTTTCCCAAAAGGGCGGCAAAAGCTTTGCCACGGGTTTTATTAAACGATATAAAAAGAAAAAGAGCAATTATAACTCCCTAATTACACCCAGCAGCAAACAGCGGAAAAAACAACTGCTCGAAAGAAACAGGTAAAAAGGCTAAGACTAAAAAACACGTCGAAAACAAGAACCTTAACCCAATTGGAGAAGAAACCTAAACTAACATAGGTTTACTGCTAGTTTGCCGTATTATGAATTGGAGCCGTCGCCAAAGAAAACTGACTTATATCATCTTTGCACAAACTTGCGACTTGTCTTGGGCTCGAAATTTTTTGGGTGCGTTTAGTTGCCCAAACTTTGCACATCCAAAAAGCACTGTGCACGGTAACGGTACTGTAGCATTTCGTTTGTATTTGGTAATAATTGTCCAACCGTTGACTAATTAGGCTTAAAACGTTCGTCTCGCAAAGTACAACCAAACTGTGTAATTATTTATTTTTTTACCTATATTTAATACTTCATGCATGTGTCCAAATATTTGATGTGATGTGATGTGTCGGAGAATCTTGCACTGTGCAAACTTTGGAGGTGCAAAGTTGGTGGAACTAAACAAGGGCTTTGTTGGAAAGTTCACCTATTCCTCTCTTTCTAGATGTTCTACCAAAAATAGATTATGATCCTGTCAAAGCGCCGTCTTTGATTTTTATCAATTTTTCTCCTACATCTTCGCCAGTAATTATGAAGCGATCCAGTTGTGTTTATGGAGCTGAGGTCAGTTAAACCGAATGTAATACCCCATGTTTTAAGGGCTATTAGCCGTGCTACTAAGTGATGGGGTTAACTAAATAAATCATAGTTAATGTACTAAAGTAGTGTATAATATATGAGCTTTCTCATAAAAGGAAAAAAATAAAGAAAATATATAACCTAAGTTTAACTTTCTATGTCATGAATATACTTAGTGAAATATTACCGAATATTTTATAGCTCATAGTACACGTATTTTAATTTGTTTGTGTGTACGTGCACTAAGACCATGCATGCCAGGGTAGCTTAAGCATGTCGTATAAGTATATGCATGTCCGTGTGAGCATGCATCTTCGTATAGCATGGACGATTGGCTAATAAACTAGTTATTGGGCCCAGCTGTCATAGAGGCTCATTGATTAAATATTGTATCAGGAGTAAAATACACTGGATTTTTGAGAAGGTGTTATTTAGGTCTATCAACTCTCAAACTGTATTTTTAGGTCTTTAAACTTTCTAAGTGATTCACTTGAGGTCCGTACCTCTTTATTTATGTTCGTATTTTGTAGAAACCTCCCTCTGTTTCTTTTCCTTTCACACGCTTACCCTTCTTAATCTTCTGAGCGCACGGGGCTGGTGGGAGAGCGCAGCGAGCATGCATCGCGGTGTACTGAGCTACCATATGTGTACTATCGCCGTCTCTGTTCATCACGCGCTCGCAGCACAACGTGGACTGCGAGGCCGCAGCCACCAGCACTGTCTCAGACGTCGAGGTGAGGCACTGCCTCGGAGCGGCGCACTCTGCAACTGCGCCTATGCACGACGCCGCCACCGCGTGATGACGCCATGTTGGCCATGTAGTTCGGGACGATGCCGTGAATTCGCATAAGCTTGACATCGGACTTGGATGTGAAGGTCGCGTCGTCAAACAGGCCGCTGAGCGTCCGTGCACTTGCATCTGTCAGCATCGACGGGTTAGGGAGACCTTCTGGTACAGCTCAGGTTTCGTCAGCAAGCCTGCCGGAGACCTTCTGGCCGGAACGCTAGGCGCCGGTCTGCCATGTGCTTCGGGTCGTTCCGGGAGGACGGCTGTTCGTGCTGCTGGAGGTGTTGATCCTCAGGAAGGAACGAGTGCTTGCCCGGACGCGTCGGCCTCGGTCGTGTGCTTGCATGTGTTCGTGAGGGGCTGACGACGGCGGGGACAGGAATTCGAAGAAGGCCGCGACGGCTCGAAACGTGTCCACGCACCGAACCGAGACGTGTGCGCGCACAAGTGCACCGCGCCGCGCGCCAACTGGCCTCCGCTTCCAGATGGACAGCTCGGGCGTAGCTGAACTGCTCCGCCTCTGCCAGCACTTGTCAATCACCAGCTGCAGGTCGTAGCTGAACCCCTTGCACTCGTCAAACACCAGCTGCAATTCGGGCATTCGGCTTAGACTATTTTCAAGGACGACATCTAAAATATAAGACTCATTTAATGTTGGGATAGCGCTACAGTCAAAGGGTTCAATACTCATTCGACATCCTCTCCAACAACAGAATTCAAAAGAGAATCCTTTGTGTTTCCAGGAGAGATGATACACATATTTGGGTTGTGCCTCTCAGACAACCCAAAATAGATCTTCCGTATAGATACTCTGTTGGAGGCTGATTTTAGGTCTCCTGCTACCCATTTTGGGTTTAGATACCCATATAAATCACCTATTGGAGACCGTCTTAGCTGAACTGCCCCGTCTACTGTCCCGTTGCCCCGTGCCCTTCTTCTTCTCCATCTCTGCCAGCAGTATGGCCAGCAGGCCCCCGGCCGTAGGCCGACGTCGCGCGGCCCTCATCGGCTATTTCCTTGCTCCGCCTGATAGACTCCCTGCTCTCTTGCACCCGGCCATGGCCTCTGCTGACGACGTGGTGGTGGCCGGCGCCTTTAGCAGGTCGACCCCGAAGAGACGCACGAAGTTGTACCTAGATGACGACAGCTTCCCACCCACGCCCACCACGGCGGAGCTTGCCTCGGCGCGGCACCTGCCCACAGAGTTCGTCTCGACACGACTCGCCACGCTCAGAAGATGAAGAAGGATAAGTGTGTGAAAGAAAAATAAATATAGGGATGTTTCTGCAAAATATAAACATAAACGAATGGGTATGGAGCTCTGGTGAATCACTTAGAAAGTTTGAGGACTTAAAAATATAGTTTAAGAGTTGATGAATTTAGATGACATTTTCTTAAAAGTTAATAGATCTCTGATGCATTTTTGTTTTGTAT